TCGCTTAACTTGGACGAATTAGAGTTGCATTGTGTTCCTTCAGAATCATAATGTGTGTCTACCACCATAGGTTGATATTTCCAGTCCATTCCCTACTATCAACATGTATGTCAAATGTGTGGAGTGGAGCCAAGGATTGACCAAGGTGGTTGATGGGATTATCATCCCTTCTTAAAATTTCAAATATAGTTTAGATTTTTTTCTTTATATTTTTTATTGATAATCTATTTTTCCTTTTAAAATTTTATAAATTAATCTTTTAAAATTTCACATGTTTGTCTTTTCTAACATAAAATATTTATTATTGGGTGGAGTTTCGATCATCCGTTCCCCGGGGAGATAAAACTTCGAAAATATTGTCTTCTGCACTCAAATGTCTAGTATATTTCTCCGAATGTTAAATTTTGGTTGCATGTTACGTTATAACAAAGGATTGAAGGGGGTGATATTATAATATGGTAATTCCCCATTTTGCATGTTACGTTATAACAAAGGATTGAAGGGGGTGATATTATAATATGGTAATTCCCCATTACACCTTCACTTCAGCAACTACAATAAATCAGATACAGGTAAAATTTCACACACAATGCTGTAAGATTTTCATAATATCTGGAAAAAAAGGACCATATCCGTTACAAAAACTGTATATTGCTGAATGGGAGAGGCCGTTGTAAAAAAAAGGTTCGAAAAATAGCTCAAAAGAACTGACATCAGAGGTTGCAAGTGTGCAAATTAATTAATTAATATTGTTAATTTCTCTTATTTTCATGGATAACTCCTTCATTACCTGCTAGCATCAGGTACTTGTCTCTCCTAGTTAAGGTAGTACAGTCAAATCCCAGAGTATCAACCAGTTTCCTCTGTATATAATTTGCCACTTCGAAGCTAGACCTGCCTCCTGCACATGTGAACTCTGGTGGCATCTTTCCCAGTATTTGAACATGGTAGCTCGATCTGGGGTTCATCAAAAAGAAAATGGGGTCCAACCATTTCAACCCGCTTACCGTTTTGCCGTAAAACATGGTTACGTGAGCGTTCATTGCTACCAGAACTATGTCGTCGACTAGCTTGGCGAACAACCAGCTAAACTGATGTGATCCCGACTATGCGCCTTACATCATTTTCTGCAATCTCCTTGAGACCGTTTGATCGAGGCAAGTTGTTTGGATTCGAGAAGCTTCTAGAAGTTTATTCGAGCTTAATATGGTAACATCAAACCAAGTTTAGATTTTCGGAAGCCTTTTTCAATCCAAAAGAAGAACCTCCACCATCATATTTAAGGCTGGAACGTGATGAAGGAACAACCAAGTTTAAGGGAGGATTTTATCTTTTACTTCTTCATGAATTTGCATGAGTGTTAATAAATTTGAAGGACATTAAGTTGCATAAATAAATAAGCATGCTACTTCATTATTTAAATTACTATCATTCTCCACACCAACCACAAACATCCTTCACCATTTTTGTTACATCCATTCAACCACTATCACCACCACACTTCTTTCATTTACAATCCACTTCAACTTCATTCTATCATTTCCATTACTTTCATAAATATTTTTATATATACATATTTCCCTTCTTATAACGTTGTTTCTATATTTTCGGTCTTCAATCAAAGCACTGCGAAGTTCTTACTAGATCACGATCGGGCAATATCGTATATGACTCGAAACACATAATCGGGATCATATCATTTGGTATCAGAGCTAGCCGGTTCAGTAAGCATATCATATCATTTTCTCTCCTTGGGTTAGTGAAAAAAATCAAAAAAATAAAAAATAAAAAATCGAAAAAAAGAAAAGAAAAACAAAAAAATATCAAAAAAAGTAAAAATAGAAAAAAAAATTAAAGAGGGCGAGAGCAATTCTTTTCATCTTTCAAAAAAATAATTAAGAAGGTGTCGTATTCGTTTCTTTCATTATCTTTACGATTTCATTGCATATTCTCATATTCGTTCTTTATTGTAGCTAATTCTTTCTTTACTCACATCATTCTTCCAACCATGCCCCAAATTGTTTCAGCCAATGTCTACAAGACACCTTGTAAACCTCGAGGCAGTTCCACAAGAACTTTAAAGGAAAGCAAGAGAGGTAAAAGGCAAGAGTGTACATTAAGGGTAAAAGCCATCCCGAGTGAAACACGAGATCAGAGACTTTTCCTTGGAGTGTATTGGTGAGGTTTTGTGTTGGCAAGGTCTATTTTTCATTTTTTATTACTAATCATGTCTTGCACTTCGAGAGACAATTCTCATATTTTAGGAGGTGACGCCCAAAATGATGGTGGTGCACCAAACTTGAAAATACAAGCCATGACACGAGAGATAATGAGTTTGTTTAAAAATAATCTCGACCCAATGTCAAAGAAATTGGAGCGAATAATAGAACGACCTTCTTGTTCACAAACACATCCAACGAAGATCAAAACACAACTAAAAAGGATAGATGACACTTGATCCTTTTCTAGTTCTACACCCAATTATAGTAGAAGATCCAAACTCACCACCAGTCATGGAGATAATAAAACATCAACCATGCCTAGATTATATTTCAAGAGAAGATCCAATGAAGTTTTTCATCATCAAAGACATCAAGCAGCAACCACCAATCAAGACCATCAAGCATCCTCCATGTGGGATGATTCGAACACAAATAGTCGACACCAAGAATGATTCGATAAAGGAGGTCATAGAAGACAAAGAGATACACAAGATAACATTTTTCACTAAAGGAGACTTTTCAAATTCCTATCAATCCAAAATTGTATGCATCACACATAAGACTTTAGAAGTTGGCAAGCCACTACGAGGAATTCAAAAGGACTTCTCCATCTATGGAGAAGATTTTTTTTGCTTAATAATGAAGACAATTTCTACAATGATGTTTGTAATTTGGAAATGAATCTTTCTCAAGGGCGAGGAAAGAAATTGAATTATTCTACCTATGGTAAAGATTATTTCTTGTTTTCCAATTAAGTTCGTTCTTTTATCGATATTTTTTATTCGAGGACGAATCACCTTAAAGAGGAAGGCAATGATGTGATCCCGACTATACGCCTTACATCATTTTCTGTAATCTCCTTGAGACCGTTTGATCGAGGCAAGTTGTTTACATTCGAGAAGCTTCTAGAAGTTTATTCGAGCTTAATATGGGAATTTCAAACCAAGTTTAGATTTTCAGAAGCCTTTTTCAATCCAAAAGAAGAACCTCCACCATCATACTCAAGGCTGGAACATGAAGAAGGAACAATCAAGTTTAAGGGAGGATTTTATCTTTTACTTCTTCATGAATTTGCATGAGTGTTAATAAATTTGCAGGATATTAAGTTGCATAAATAAATAAGCATGCTACTTCATTTAAGCATGAGTTCATCAAAGCATGTAGGTTTTTATGAAGCTACTTCATTTAAGTATCATCTTTCATTCAATAAAGCTAGTTCACTAATTAAACTAGTTCATCCATTTAAACTGGTTCATTAATTAAACTAGCTCTTTATATGTTTTCATAACATGTTTTTATTTTATTCAAGCTTAAACATTTCTTACTTTTGTGTCTGGGTGCAAAAGGGAAGCTGAACAGTCTCAACAAATATCAGTCAGAATGTCTTCTAATTTTGGAATCGATACAGACATTTTTGGATCCAGAAACCTATTGGAAATTATTCTTCTATCTCTTATCTTTCCAATGCCTTTTGAATCACCTCAATCCGATATCGGGAGCTTGAGATATGATCGATTTATTGAAGCAGTACAGGCTGGAATTTTGTTACGAGAATTTTATGCATGGATGATTTTGATGATTTTGAGCCAAGGAAGAGTCCTTTCATCTTCTAACAAGAGACAATCAATTGATGACCATCTTAATTCACCAATTCAAGGCATTCAAGGTTGATGTTATCAGCCATTGAAGGCCATTTATGTTCAAGCAAGGGGACATGTAATAACCATCATTTAAAACTTAGTTTTCAAGACCTTTATCATCTTTTGAAGGTTGATCATATTCTTCAAGGGAACAAGCAATGAAGGCTGATATTATTTCATTTAACCACAAAATTAAGTGATGAAACAAGCAAGGAATTTGAAGAGACAAGCTGATTTGGACATGTAGGATGTCCACATTCATCCTATGACTTCATTTAACCTATTTTCTTCCATTTGCAAGCAAAGCAAGGTAGCCCAAGAGTCTTCCACCCCTTGGACGAAATTATGGCCAAATTCAACTTCAAATTGTCTAGATTCATCCCCAAAATGATCTAGAATATTCATCCAACTTTGAAGATAAGAAGACAAAGCATTCAAGTGCATTTTATTGCTAAATTGATGAGAATGTTTTCATCTTTTGAGTCTTTTCATATGCTGCTTGGAAATAATATAAATAGACACCTTTGGGATCATTTGTAGACACACAATTTGATTTATGAAAATACTTTGAAAGATTGCTTTCATTTTAGTTCTTCGATTAGAACTCTATCGGTTTCTTGTCGGTCTTGAAGCCTTCATCCATTTCATCTTGTTATAGTGTTGGTTCCTAGCTCTACTATAGCTAGTGGGTCACGTTCCACCCTCTATCACTTCGATTCCATCTTTATTAAATTGTTGGTTCCTAATTCATAAATAGTTAGAGGGTCACAATCCATCCTTTGAATTACTATCATTCTCCACGCTAACCACAAACATTCTTCGCCATTTTTGTTACATCCATTCAACCACTATCACCACCACACTTCTTTCATTTACAATCCACTTCAACTTCATTCTATCATTTCCATTACTTTCATAAACATTTTTATATATACACATTTCTCTTCTTATAACGTTGTTTTTATATTTTCAGTCTTCAATCAAAGCACTGCGAAGTTCTTACTAGAATCATGATCGGGCAATATCGTATATGACTCGAAACACATAATCGGGATCATATCATGAACCTTAACAAATAAAGCCCTCTGCATATGGTTCCTTCGGGACAGACCACCAAATCACCTTTGCTTAGCAACTTCTACATGGTTTCACCGTCTTGTTTCCTGTCTCTGGTCAGCCCGATTGTCCTGAATGGAGCTATGATTTCAAACATTTTGCTCAAGTTGTAGGTCACTGCCGTCAATGGTTTGCACAATGCGGTGCTGAGGAAAAATGGGTCCAAAAGTGTTATATGCATACAAACGTATAGAACTCCATTTTTATGTTGTGGTTTTGGCCAAGGGAAACAGTTTTGGAATCGTAGTTGAACTCCACTTAGTAAACCGTAAAGTATAGCTAACAAGTAAGGCAAGCAGATGCCGAAGAGGATCCTGAAAATGACGAGAACTATCACAAATGGAAGCCATAAGAACATACAAAGTGTTTCCAATGGAGTGGGCAAGAAAGCTAGCCTTCCCTCGTGAAATATAAGTGGTTTCGGGTACTTGTCCCTCGGCATGACACTGCTTTGAATGTTTCTGCCATCCACCACATAGGCTTCCTGTCGCATTCACCAACAAGAACTTGAATTAATGTACCACAATTTCCTCCATAAATAACTTCATGTCCATGTTCACAAGAAATGTACTTGGTAGGTCCAGTGTTAAATGCAAGGTTTACCCAAAATCAACACAAAATTATACAATTGGAAGTAATGAAAATACCTTGCATAAGGAGATAAACTGATGGTCATGGTGACTTGAGCTTCCAAGGCCAACATCTGGTTGTTTATCTCCAAAGTATCCTTTTAAAGCTTTATGCTTTACGAGTAAATCGGACAACAAGCCGGTGAATCGATTCCCGATGGTGTGCAATTCTGTGCCGACAACATCGTTGACTTTCATGTATTCCTTGAGGAATCCTTCCACCATTACTCTAGGTATACTTGTGAAAACAAGTCTCGAACTTGTTTTAGACCAAACTTCATAAGCTTGGAGATTAAGATTCTTGAGATAGAACTTGGGCAACACGGCCATGGAGACGCTCTCGATTTCTTTCTTCCTAAGCCCACAGAAGGATATGAAAATCATAACCCTTAGTTTCAGCTCATAATACAAAACCCACACAAACGAGCAGGAAAAAAGCAAGAGAAAGGCTCTTAAAATGTTACTGTCTGCTAATTGTGACTACTAAATATGGTCGCGAAAATATGTGCAAGTATACACAATCGAGCAAGTAATACAACGATGGGTGAGTATCGTATCCACTGGGATTGGAGGAAATTTATAAGTTCAATCAAAGCAATTATCTATTTTACCTAAGTATAGTTAGTGACGGTATGTACAAATGAGAATGTTGTGGAAAAATGAAATGGATGTTGGTGGGAATGGAATGATGGTGTAATGTAATATGGTAGAAAATAGAGATGTCATGGCAAAGTGGATGGAAATGTCTTGGAAAAATTAAATTGAGTGTAGTGGAATCAATTGAAAATGCAAAGGCAAAACAAAATGTAAACATTGGATTTAATTAAAATGACTTTAGACTCCTCACACAACAAGCTACTAAGGGAATGAATGATATGAGTCACTTAGGAAACTTAAGTCTATATTTTTAGGATGGTCTTACTTCTATGCCTTACTTGCCTGACAGAGTTTACGAAAGGTGCCCTATTCTATCTCTAGTCAAGAGACTCGACAGGTTGAGGATGCCATGACAATACCTCTTGGCGTTAGCAAGTACAAGGATCCTATTGGTTCAGATAACAGAATATGTCACGACAATACCATTTAGCATTAACACTAGCATCTAACCTCTCGACCAATCACTACTCCTTTTAGTCGATTGAAATCCTAGCCTTATGTCTAAGGTTGGATTAGGTATAGTTACTATCTAGAACTCCTTGCTTATGTGGATCCTCCCTAGTTTCTCTCGAACACTAAGGATATGCTACTTAGTCATTCTCTCGAACACTAAGCATTATCATAAAGAATGACTACTCTCATAGCTCCTACAACCTTAAAGTATTAAACATCATAAGCAAAACAAATAACAACATACAAAATAACCATCCCTTAAAATAAACTTAAGTATCCATAAGGAATTCCCACCAAATAAGATTAGTTCATGGTGGGGTTTGAATATTCCAAGCAACAAGGCATGAAATTAATCCGTTCCATACAACCCAAATAAGATAAATGGAAGCAAACAACAAAATGATGGAGGAAAATCCTTCTACGTGCACTGGCGGAGCTCTCCTCGGCCACCACGAACTGGCCCAACTCATTATCTCCTCTCGAATGGCTAGCTCGCCACTCCCTCTAGCTTGTTAATGGAGGAATGCCACGGCAAAAATGATTAATGGAAAAAGAAGAGACATTTTTCTCTCTAAAATTAAGCTCAAAACGGCGTGTAAAGTCTCTCCTTTTTCTGGTGGCTTCATATACTATTTATAGGGGGAATAAACCTAAGAATTTGTGTTAAAATTCCTAGGATACACCGATCAGGTTCCCTTCACGTGAGGGGGTGAGCATATGTGACAGTGGTCCCCTCCTAAACAGTTGGGCATGGTCCCCTCCTGGGCAGCTTGTAGTTGGGTGTGGTCCCGACAGAATCAGGCGACCCAGGTGGCAGATGTTCCCTCCTAGGTGACTAGCGGTTAGGGAACATGAAGACAAGGACATATGGCTCTTGAAAATATCATCTTTCATTTTTTCGGCTTCTAAAATGTCGTCCAATTTGGCATTTGCATTCTGCTTAGCAGTCTCAGCATATCACGACAATTCCCTTTGCTTATCCTTACTCCCAAAACTTATACATCATCAAACAAAACACATTTCCCATAACGCAACATCATTTACAAAATAAAATGCCACGGTAAAATATATTTTTACCACATGCAACTATATGCTCCTATATGAGCTTTAAACAGTCAATAACTTAAGTGAAAAGGCCATAAATATGGATAATATTAAGCAAAATAAAAATACCATGGCAAGTTCAGGTTCAAACTAGTCATATGAGATAGAATTTTAGCCATCAGAACAATTGAGTTCAACATGCTATACTAGTTTAAGAAATCAAGCACTATCCCCTAGGGCAAGATCCTTTGTGTGAGTGTGTGCGTGTGATTGTATCAAGTTCATGCTTAACAAATCTAGAAAATTTCTAAGCAAGCTCTCTTGTTTTGCCACAACATTTACAAGTTTACTCCCATATTGTTTTCTTCTTCTTCTTTAACACTACTACGAGGGGAGTCAACTCATCACACCTATCATCCCACACTTTAAGTGAAAGGGAGCATACCTTCTACCCCCGAGTTAGTCAGGTAGAGTAATTCTATGACTACTTTCATTCACTCATATGTCGTGGCTACAATTTATTTAAATGCAGTTTCCAAGCAATGTCATGGCATAGTGAAGTGTCCCTCTACAGATATGCAGAAGCATTTATTTGCAAATTTTTTATGCAAGGTTTTCATCATTCATATAAAAGTTTTATGCCAATACATGCAAGAATTCTCTTATAAAAAATTTCTAAGTTCCTTAAGCATAGAAAACATACAATCGTGTATCAAAAATTACAAAGAAGAAAGTCCTAGAGTTTGATCTATCATCCTCAACAGTCATGTACATTCAATTATAGCCATAAAGAGTTCATCATCATCGGGCATCATTTATTTATTCCAGAAAACTAATTTGAACACTTACTAATGCCATGATATATTCATTCTACTAATACTATCATGCAATGAATTGAGAACCCTATCTTCCCCAAACTTAAGAGAATCATTTACCTCAATGTTAAATAAAAACTAAGTAAAACTAGACTACATGTTATGCAATGTAATGCAATGCAAGGTACCTTGACTACTTATGCTGGTGGTGGTGCGACAGTTGTGCGACTTGGCCGCTTGCGCAATTTTGTGGGGTTAGAGTGTTCAGAATCTGATGCTGGTGTAGTAGGGGTCCTAAGGCCTTTAGGGATTAGGAGAGTTGAGGCTCCTCTCATCAAGACACATTCTTCAACCGGCGTCTATTCTTTTTGCAGAGGGATTTGCTGCGGCATTTCTGATTGTGCTACCTCTAGTGGATCTGTGGGTTATGGGGGTACTGATAAGGTTGAGAGATGGAGCTCAGTTTCTTAACATTCAGTTGTTGGCACTGAGTAGAATGGATCAGGATCGGTTGGCTCCTCATTATTACCGGGCTGGCGAGCTTCTTTTAATGCCTTGACACTCTCAGATGGGCACAAGAGCGTATCAGGAAAGACTGAGATATCAAGATTAAAGTGCGGGAGAATCTCCGTGAAAACATTCGCCACAAACTCATCCCGACGCTTTACATAAGCAAAGAAGGTCATCATATTGTTGGTCAGTTGTTTTAAGTGATCTTGGGTTTGCTTAGTGGCCTCCTCTAGAGCATCTCGTTTTGCCCTGGCATCTTGGGTTGCATTAGCGCGGGAAGTGCTCTATTCTTTTTCTTTGCCCTTGTTTTTCTTGAATCCAAGTAATATAGACAATTTGGCCTTTGTAATACCAGACAGCCTAGGCAATATTTCATCAAAATGCTCATCTGGCACCTTCTTCTTACGACAGAGAGCCATAATGAGGTTTGGAAATACTAAGGCACTAGCGGGCCACTTCAAACAAGAATGAACTTGTTCCACAATTATCTTCCCTATTTCAATCGAACACCCCACCAAAATAGAGTGTAACAGAAGCATCCTCTGCAGTGAGATCGTGGTGTTGTGGGCAGTAGGGAGAAACTTGTGCTTTATAAAATGATTCCACAACTTAGCTATCGGTTGTAGGCTTTCACGATTCACCGATCGTCGGCTGGCTTGTTACCTATTCCACTTTGTGTTTGAGAAACAAAGGTCTTCCAATATTCCATGTTAAGTCTCATTATTTGCCTCTTTTATGAATGTGGTGTGGTTATAAACAATATCCTACAAGTTAAAATAATGATTAATAGTTGAATAGGTAAAGCGAATAGAAATACCATGAACCACCACGACATGTTGGTTTGGGTCAGTTAAGTTGGCATAAAACTCCTTCACAAGAGAGACATTCACGTTCCCCGGATGCTTGGCAAATTTTTGCCACTGGTGCTGGTGAACAATGTTCATGACATCACTGCCGAGGTCGGCATTTTCAGCGTCAGAGAAGATGAAGCCTAACTCAAAGAAAACTCGACGATTCTTGAGCCCTTAAAACCGTTCTTGTACCGCTTCATCGATGAAACACAGTGGAGATGATGGAGTCATGGTTGAGGGACATGAGCGCACCATGGTTTGGTTGACAAAAATAGATATCATTGAATTTTTAAAAGTTACAAAATAGACATTTAACTTTGAACTGTGTTAAAAAATAAATAACAATCTTTAAATGTTATCAAGGGGTGAATAACATACTAAATTAATGAAAAATATAATATTTAGCCCCTCAATCATAACTAAAATTTCACTTTAATACATTTCAACATTTCTCAGTAGTAATTATAAAAAATAGATTTTTTTTAAATATATAAAAATAAATTATTTTTAAAATTAAAAAATATTTTCAAAAAAATCAGTTATCAAACAATGAAATTAATTTTTTTATTAAGAACAATTATTTTATAACTAATTATTTATTTAATTGTTGTTATGTTTTTAAAATAAAAAAATTATAATTTTTGAAGTTAAAATATTTATATTATCAAATAATAAAATTAGTTTTTTTATTAATGATGTAATTTAAGCATTTAACTATTATTTAATAAATTTAAATGTAATTTAAAAATCATACATCCATAATTTTATAATATTATAGTATCAAATAATTTTTATTTATATGGTACAAATTTAATATTTATAATATAAAATTCGTTGCATTTCTCCACTATCGCAAATTCGCGTTGCATTTCACGTTGCGAAAGTTGAAAATCGC